TGTGCTGGAGGTGCGAGAGGAGCTCAGGTGAGGGGCAGGGGCAGAGGACACGCAGGGCCAGTGTGGGGCACTGGGGGAGCTGGAGGTGGGAGCTGGAAGGGCCCTGAGTCAGGCCCCCCTGCCTCTTCTCTCCTCAGGAAAGCCCGGGAGAAGATGATGGATGCGTCACGCTCTATGAGCAATGGCTTCTCCTACCAGGAGAAACTCTCCCCTTCCCAGCTCAGCTCCGTGCTGGAAGCCGTCGCGGGCGAATATGCCCTGGTCATCAATGGGCACAGCCTGGTAGGGCCCTGGGAGCACCAGGCAGGATGGGGCCCTGTGTCCTGCTGTGGGCCGTGACCCCACTGTCCCCCACTGTCCTGCAGGCCCACGCACTGGAGGCAGACATGGAGGTGGAATTCCTGGAGACAGCGTGTGCCTGCAAGGCCGTTATCTGCTGCCGTGTCACACCCCTGCAGAAAGCCCAGGTGGTGGAGCTGGTGAAGAAGTACAAGAAAGCTGTGACCTTGGCCATTGGGGATGGGGCCAACGATGTCAGCATGATCAAGAGTAAGACCTGGGGGGCTGTGGGAGGGATAGGACCCCTCTTGTACCATCCTGGGGCCTGTGGCAGCCTCTGTCCTCACCCCAGGAAAGGTCCCTGTGCTGGGGGTGCCACCCTCATCCCCTGTGCTCCTGGTGGCCCCCTCCTCACTCCAGTGTGCTCCCTCCACAGCTGCCCACATCGGGGTGGGCATTAGTGGGCAGGAAGGCATCCAGGCCGTGCTGGCCTCCGACTACTCCTTCTCCCAGTTCAAGTTCCTGCAGCGCCTGCTCCTGGTGCACGGGCGCTGGTCATACCTGCGCATGTGCAAGTTCCTCTGCTACTTCTTCTACAAGAACTTTGCCTTCACCATGGTCCACTTTTGGTTTGGCTTCTTCTGTGGCTTCTCAGCTCAGGTAGGTTGGTGGTTCCTTGTGCTTGGAGCTGGAGAGGGTTTGCCTGTGGGACTCCTTAGCTTGGAAGCATGTCCTGGTCATTGGGCTCCATGTGGGGCCTCATCCTGAGCCAGCAGGCACAGCCTGGGCTGCATTGGGCACGAGGAGCCTGTCAGGGTGGGCACCCCCAGGGGCTGGTGGTGGCTCTCCTGTCCCTGCAGCTGTGGGCACAGGGACTTGGGGGCTGGTTCAGGCACAGGGCAGGCAGGTCTTGCATCCCCCTGAGCTCTCTGTTCCCTGCAGACTGTGTATGACCAGTACTTCATCACGCTGTACAACATCGTCTACACGTCGCTGCCTGTGCTCGCCATGGGTGTTTTTGACCAGGTATGGTGGGGGCAAGTGAGGAGTGTCCCTCGGTGTGCAAGGAGCTGGCCCCACTCCGTGCCCACCCCGTGGGAAGAGGGGCTGCCTGAGTTCCTGAGCTGGGCTGTCCTTGTCCCTCCACGGGCTGTGGTGGAGGCTGCACCTGCCCAGGGCTAAAGGGAGGTGCCCAGAGTGCCCTGTGCCCCCAGGATGTGCCGGAGCAGCGGAGCATGGAGTACCCCAAGCTCTACGAGCCTGGGCAGCTGAACCTGCTCTTCAACAAGAGGGAGTTCTTCATCTGCATCGCTCAGGGCATCTACACCTCCGTCCTCATGTTCTTCATTCCCTACGGCGTTTTCGCCGACGCCACCCGTGATGACGGTGCCCAGCTGGCCGACTACCAGTCCTTCGCCGTCACCGTGGCCACCTCCCTCGTCATCGTCGTCAGTGTGCAGGTAGGGACGTGCCTGCTCTGCCCTGGCCCCGAGGGGCACCTCGTGCATCCCGTGAGCCCTGCCTCCTCCTTCCAGATCGGGCTGGACACGGGATTCTGGACAGCCATCAACCACTTCTTCATCTGGGGCAGCCTGGCCGCGTATTTCGCCATCCTCTTTGCCATGCACAGCGACGGCCTCTTCAGCCTCTTCCCCAACCAGTTCCGCTTCGTGGGTGAGTCCTGGAGGGCTGCCCTGAGCCCCCCACCCCAGCAGGGTGATTCCCCAGCCTAACCCTCACTGCACCCGTGTTTCCCCCCCAGGTAACGCACAGAACACGCTGGCCCAGCCCACGGTCTGGCTGACCATCGCCCTCACCACCGTGGTCTGCATCGTGCCCGTGGTGGCCTTTCGCTTCCTCAAGCTGGACCTGAAACCTGAACTCTCGGACACGGTGAGAGTGTGTGGCTGTGGGAGTGGGCACAGGAGTCCTGTCCCTCAGGACAGGTTCTTCTGTGGGTCCCTGACCCCTTCCCTGTGTCCCCAGGTGTGCTGGGTCCTGTCCCTGACCGTGTCCCTGTGTCCCTGAGCCCTTCCTTCCCTGACCCTGTCCCTGTGTCCCCAGGTGTGCTGGGTCCTGTCCCTGTCCCTGTGTCCCTGAGCCCATCCCTGTGTCCCCAGGTGTGCTGGGTCCTGTCCCTGACCATGTCCCTGTGTCCCTGAGCCCTTCCCCGTGTCCTCAGGTGTGCTGGGTCCTGTCCCTGACCCTGTCCCT